TATTAGTCAGTGTTCTCCAGAGAGGCAGAATCAATAGGATATGTTATATATATATATATATTTTTTTTTCCTTTTTGTCTTTTTTCGTGACCGGTAACCGGATCGAAACCCTCGGTGTCGCACCCGTACCGCGACCGGCAACGGGATCGCAACCCTCAGTGTCGCGCCCACACTGCTCTCAACCAGTGAGCGGACCGTACTCTATATGGGATCCAAACCCTCGGCGGGAGCGCCGCCACGCTCTCAAGCACCGCACTCTACCGAGTGCGCCACCAGGCCGACCCTAGGATATGTTATAAATATATGAGAGGGGATTTGTTGGAATTAGCTCACGTGATTGTGAAAGAGAAGTCCTCCTATAGGCCGTCTGCAAACTGGATGCCAGTAGTGTGGCTCAGTCCAAGTCTGAAGTCCTCAAAACCAGGGAAGCCGTTGGTGTCCTTGGTGTAAGTCCTGGAACCCAAAAGCAGAAGAGTCTTTAGCTCTGATGTCTGTGGACAGGAGAGAAGAATGTATCCCAGCTCCAGCGTATATAGAGAGATTCACTTTTTTGTNGTGGACAGGAGAGAAGAATGTATCCCAGCTCCAGCGTATATAGAGAGATTCACTTTTTTGTTTGTTTTTTCTGGGCCCCCAGTGGATTGGATGGTTCCCGCCCATATTGAGGGTGGATCTCTCCCACCTAGTCCACTCAGGCTATCATGCTAACCTCTTCTGGAAACACCTTCATAGACACACCTAAAGAGATAGCTTTACCAGGATTCTCAGCATTCCTTAATCTAATCAACTTGACACCTAGAATTAAACTTTGCACTACTCCACCCTGGACTAGAGGCCCCTCGAGTGCTGAGTCTACCAAATCTAGGGCAGACATTTAGCCATTTAGACACCCTAAGTGCTGAAAAGATCAAGGTGACTTATCCCATATGTAATTCAAAATCAAAACAATATTAAACATGAAAACCCTGAAATAATGTGATGTTGTAAACTGTGTTTGCTCTGGATTTTCTAAATGCAAAACACTGTATGATTTAATTAAATATGACTTTTCTCCCTGCTTTGTTAGTGCCCCTAGTACATGCTTAGTCAGCCTCTTGGATAATGTAGCCAAGAGCAAGTTCCTCCATGACCCACAACACAGGGCCTGGAGTGAAGTCAATGTAAGAATGTTCCATGAATGAATAAGTAAATAGAATGTAAGTTTTCCTCCCTTGAAGTCTGAGCTGACAACCTTCTGAGAAGGCATCTAGACCAAGACCCACTCATGTCCAGGAGACCTCGGACACACAGTCACTCAGGCTTTTCCAGTCCCTTGGTCTCCCTAAACTCTGATTTCCTAAGACAGCTTTGGGGTTTTCTGGTGAGAACCTGCCATTATCCTCAACCTCACAGCTCCTTGCTGCCCTCTGCTGCCTGATGTCCCAGTGATCATGAAATTCTGCCACGGTGGGAATCAAATGTCTGAAAGGACAGGGATATACAGAAACCCCAGGGGCTAGGAACGTAGGTGATCCAGTGTGAGAGAGGGGGCTATGACCGATTATCTCGGGGTCCAGGGATTAAAGGACCAGGAGATTCAGTAACTCTGGGATCCGTCGACTTCGTGACCACAAAAATCTAGTGATCCAGCAACCTCAAGACCCTGCAGCTGCGGGACCAGAATCCGAGAGAGAGAGACCCATGATTGACGACCCAGGGGCCCAGGATCAAGGGACTTCGTGAACACATGCCCGCAGGGCCCTAGCGCCCTGAGCCAGGTGTCAATGGGCTCAGCGGCTGCAGGCGCTGCGCCCTCACCCACAGGTGCTTCCTCGAGGTCGCTATTGCTGGGCGTCTCTGCAACCCTTCACTTGACACTCATTGGTGAGTCCTCGGAAGCGTGGACCAATCAAAGCCCTTCTCGTATCTCCAGCCCCCCCTCTCAGCCGTAGTTCTTGAAAGCTGGGGGCGGGTCGCCTCTACACTGACCCAAT